CCTTGTCCTCTGGTCCCGCTGACCCAGGTCAGGAGAAAGTTTCTAGAATGGAGCGCGCCAGGGGGGCTGGAGCGGGGCGGCGATCATCAGAATAGCGCATCCTCTCTCCTCCAGGGATCGTCCCACCATGTTCAAAACGCTTAAAAATGGGCCACAATGGGCATTTCTAGTCGCAAGATTTTTCTTGTGACTGCCTCCCATCCCCTACTGTCCATCTTGTATATTTAAAAACCTTAATTTTTTTCCTTTTTGTTTCCCCTTTGGTTCTCATATTCCTGACACGCCAGTGCTAAGGCTGCTAAGTTCTGCATTGAGAGACAGCTTCCATTCTTTCTTGCAAGCACATATGCCCATATTTTTGACAGATCTATAAACAAATTTCGTGGCCTTGAATCTCCCAGATTTCCAATATCCTGCTCTTCTTTATATTTCTCTATTTCTGGCAGTCTTTCTTAGCTCCCTATTTATGCCAGAGTGGCTATTACTTCTGCTACATTTTCCTCCTCATAAAAGTCATTAGCTCTGAAAATCAATTTCCATTCATTCGTCTCTGAATAATGCTAGTTCTCTTCTGATTTGGTGTTGGTCAACAGATGAGATCAATGGATTTATACACCCTGGTCCCACTCTGCCCACGGATGGCAGGCAGGTTGCTAGGCAAAGCTCCCTTCTCAGTCTCCTGTTTGTAGCGAGCTTTCATTTTTGCTTTGCTAAGGGGATAACTCTTTGAAACCCCTATTTCCTGGTTCTCTGGTAACTGGACCAATGCAGAACATTAAAACTATAGCTGCAGCCAGGATGTGGAAGGATTTGAGGTACCAAACATATCTCCTCCCTCTACAGATTCTGAAGCAATTAATAAAAACATTCAAGAATCGGGTAAGTTCAAAATACCAGGGATTTTGTTGTTGCTAGAACTTGGTTTGGAGGTCGTGGCCGGGGCCTGAATATAAAGTTGGCTTCCTAGTACATCCCCCTAGTCATTGGCAAGCAGTAGTCCCCCCGTGAAACAGGGCCTCCCCAGGCACCTTACCGCATGTCGCTGGCCAGCTGTTTAAGAAAGGAAGAGCCCAAATGGGATAAGCTACCTTGCTCAGCACTTTATGCCACTACTTTTTCATTGCAGAAGGAAAGAAGGACAGATATCAATACTGTCAGAAGGGCAGAAGTTTCTATTTCATATAGAGGTTTCTATTTCAGAAGTTGGAAGTAAGGAAGATGGTTCCACAAAGAGTTCTTCCTGCTTCGCGCCCTCACTTGCTTGTCTCTGCGCCTAAGGCCACATTTCCCAGAATGCACTGTGCCACCACTGGCACCCCATCCTCGGTTCCTAGCTGTTTGCTGCCTGGACGTGGAAAGTTGTGGAGGTAAAAGCATGGGGGGAAACCATTCATACCTCCTATCATAGATCAAAATCTAAGGGGTAGTAGAAAGGGATGATCAGCCTGAGTTTTGGTTGACGTAGCCCCCAACTCCTGTGTCTGAAAAAGAAGACCATCAGTGGGGAATGAGTGATGGCTTTCATTAGATAGTCTCTGTTCAAGCAAATCGTGGCTCTGCCATGAACTCAACCCTAGCAGGTATTTTTCATTCTAGATGCATCTGCCTTATAGTTGGTTCACTGGATTGTTTATTAAGCTTTGGTAGTTTTTGTAAGTTTAAAAAAAAAAATCTTTTTCTATACCTTCAAAAGCTGCAGCTTAGATGCTTTGAGGTAGAGGCTCTCCTCCCTTCCCCATGATATTGTCCCTTCCGTGATTTCTGTGGCTCCTTTCTCCTGCTTCGCCTCCATCTTCTGGCCGCTCCTTTTTAATGTGATGCTCTTCCTTTGGTGTCTTGCCACCTCTGGGGCTCTATCCTATGCCGTGGCATTTCTCTTGCTTGATCTCCTCTACTCCAACGGCTTCAACTAGCACGTATTCTTGTGGCTGACTCCCAATGCATAATTCTATACCAAACCTCTCTTTCTCTTGAGCTTCAGACCCATCTCTTAAACCATTTACTAGACAGTGTCCCCATCTGCACTTCATTCTCAACTGACCAAATCCAAAATCATCATTTATCCTCCAAACTTGGCCCATCATTTTTATTGTCTAATTTGGGAAATTGCACCTCCATTCTTTCATGTAACCAAAAAAAGGGGTTATATCCATTAGCCCATAGAGCCAATTGATTACCAATTCTTATTCATTAGGATAGCTTTCCAGTATCCCTTCTTTATCCCTCTTTACTGCCAACACCTTGCTTTGGAGTCTGTATCAGTTTAAGTTGTTTGGTTTCAAACACTAGAAATGAACTCTAAGTTAAACAAAGAAAGAGGGTGGATTTATTTGAAAGAGTATTGAGAAGGCTCACAGAATTGAAGGGAAGACTGAATAAGCGTGCTCCAGGGTGGCTTGGATCGGGGGCAGCTCTGGAGGCCTCAGTGGGTGCAGCTCAGTCTTTCTGTCTGGGACGTTGCATGTGGTAACTTGGCCACCATCATCTTTCATCTCTGTGTGATTTCATCGAACTTCCAGTTTCCTAGTAGAGAGAACCTGGTTGATCATCTTTGAATAAGCCACCCAGGGCTAGAAGACAGGGATGAGTGGCACAGATTTGTGAGCAGATGCCTACAATTTCTCAGCCCTTTCTTAGCACTGCCATAGCCTTCTTGAAGGCCTCTCCATCTTTCCAATCTATACTTCTTGCATCTTTAAATCTATAGTTCATATTGCCACCATTTTCATATTTCTTAAATATACATTGTTCAATGTATCTCCTTAGCTAGAATTCCTTGATAGCTCTTCATTACTCATAGAATAACTGACGAACTTCTGTCAGGGGCTTCATTCTAGGATTTGGACCCTGGCTACCCTTCTAGTCTCCTGTCTTGCAACTTTTCTGTTAAATCTTATGTTCCAAGCATACTGCAGTTATTTGCAATTCCCATGAACAAGTCATGCTTTGTTCTAGTCTCATGTTTTTGCTCCCTCTTTCTCAAATACCCACACTCTCTTCTCTTCTCTTCACCTGGTTAACTCACACTTTCCTTCCCAGGCTCCCTTTCGGTATTAGATCCGAATCTCTCCTAGTCTCTTCTCATCTGGGCTAAATGCTCTTCCTCTGTACTCTGATAGCCTCCTGAACTTATCTCTGATATAGACATTGCAATTTGTTGCATTTGACTCTTTCCTTGTCCCTCTTCCTGGCCAGAAAACCGATTTATGTTTGGTTTCCATGAGCTAGGATGGGGCTTTATGCATCATAAATGTTCAGTAAATATATTGAAATAAACAACTACTGGTTTTGAATGCCTAACGTACAAAGCACTGCTGGGGATATATATATATATATATCCCCACATTTCTATGTTCTATGACCTTCCTGCCTAGAAAGCAAACAATACCAGCATATAAGAAAAGTATAGGTAGAACTACAAGATACTGTATAACTTCATGCACAGAAAAACAATGACCACAGGCTAGAATTTGAGATTAAATTGATCTGGAAAGTCTTCTCAGAAGAGGAAACACTTGAGTAGTTACATAAAGAAGACTCAAGTGGTTTGAAGAGGGTGGGAGAGTGTTTTAAGTATGTAGAGTAAGGGAAAAAGGCTCATTATGTTTGAGGAATGGGTGAAAACATTGGCCAAGATAGAGATTGATTAAAATATGGTGAAAAGTCCAGTGTGTGTGTGTGTGTGTGTGTGTGTGTGTAGTAAAGTCATAGGTTGCGGGGGGATTGGAGCATATTTTGTTTCCCTTTGTGCTTTTCATTCTCTGATTCCAGCATAGAACACCTCAGCATTCTAGATTGCCTGTTCATCACAAATTCCCTGTGTCTCCTTCAGAATCAAGAAAAGAATAATTAAGGTAGTTTCATAATGGAAAGTTTCCACATCAAGGAATTTCACCTCTCTCCCTGGAGTAAGATTTCCTATGTCATTTAAGGGTATTGTACACCAGATCTTTCTATTCTTATTTTTGATATAATTTTTTGTGTTTGTACAACTTTTTTTCCTACCCAGGCACGCAGCACAAGGTTTGTATCTTCTGATTTAATGGCTCCTATTTATTTTAGTTTTAATACATACATGAATTGGAAAAACTAAAAGTGAGAAAAGGGCGAAAACTCGTTAGCCTTTTATCCTTGAAGGGAATTGTCAGAGTTTAGCTCAGCCTAGCCATAAACTTTAGACAATCATCTTTAGTGTCTCTATCTAGACAATTAAACTAGATATAACCCTAAACAATCACCTCGTGACACTATCAACGCTGACACAGATCCTTCCTCCAAACCCATGGACTTTATAGGAGCCTGGGCTGATTGGCCTTATCAAAGTTCTACTTAATAGCCAAGGTCCCCCAAATCTGATCTCATCCCACCTATTATTAGGTCTTTAATATAGCTACTTAACAACAAAACAAATAATCTTCCAGTTAGGCTATTTCACAAACAATCCTGCAAGGCCCAGCTCGATTTCTACATCCTTTGGGAAACATTTCCCCCCAGGCATCACTAACTTCTCTTTTCTCTAAATGGTGGGTTCTAAATCACTCACTCTTTTCTTCCATTTCTAATTATTAAAACGTAGCAACTCCCGGTTGCTCTCTACTGATACACAGTTTTATTACACTTCTTTCAGCTTCTCAGGCCTAATCTGTGGACAAACATGGTTGTACTGAGAGGGGCTGTCTGCTCCTCCAACTCTCTCCCATTACTGACACATGAATTACTTTTATTTCAGGTCTTTATGTAGGTAAATCTCACCTATATCATGGAATTAGAAGGTCACCTTTAAATCACTTGGTTAACTCTCTCCATTTCTACAGATGAGGAAACTGAGGCCCCAAAAGATTTGTCATTCTTGTTTCAGATTTAACAATCACTTCCTCCTCCTGCTCCCATTAATCATCTAAACTTAACTTCTTGAGGGCAAGAATTGCCATGTCTTATGCGTTTTCTCCATCAACAACAACATCTGTCAGTCTTCTCTTGTTTCTCATACAGGATCAAGAATGGGGCTGAGCACATGGTATGTGCTAAGGAAACAATATTTGGATTGAATTGAACCCCTTCACAACGTGGACCATTTAGAGGCACTGAGTTTGGCCTCTGGGTGAATGATTGCTTCAGGTTGGCCCACTGAACAGTGAACAGCAATGGGACAAAAGAGAACTGCCAAGTGTGTAGTCTTGTTTGCCCAACTATGTTATAAAGACCCTCTTATAGGAATTTATTTTGTAGCCCGTAGCACTTTGAACAGTGCTAGTCACAGAGTAAACCCTCATTAAAAATGTTTCGATTGACTGACTGTGCTCAAAAACCAGATCTTGGTCTGTGTTTCAGGCAGCAACTGGAGTAACTTTTCCAAAAGGAAAGCACCAGGCTGTCTGAGATAAGCCCTGCAGGGCTGAGGAGGCATTTTTCTTGCAGTTCTGCACCTTAAATTGGCCTTGAAGAAAAGTATCTGGAATTTGGTGCTGCCTTTTAGATGCCAAAGAATTATTTTGAAGGTGGTACAATAAAAATTATAATATATTGTTATTAGATAACTTAAGGTAATAGGGTACATCAAAAGGGCGCAAACTTGAAGCTATTAAGTAGGGATGAATTTACTTTGCTTTGTCCACAATGTGTTACTTGTACCCCCTGGGACTATTATTAAGACCTTTGGCCTGAGAAGTAAGCAAGCCATCCTTGAATGTGACCTGATCCTGGGTTTGACCACGACATAGCCAATGACCCACCAAATGCATAGCTTGGCCATTTCTACTTTTCTTATTTTGGTCCTTACTCTGCTACCCTCATCTTTAAAGGAGAGAAGTCTACTTGAGGTAGTTGTAGGATCCTATTTAACCGGAGCTAGTTTAACCCCCCAAGTGGAGCTCTCTTCAAGGAGGAGGCAGGCTGCTTATTTTTAGTCATTAACCCAATCTCACTGCTGAGCATCTTTCACTGTGTTCAAGAAGCAAATGTGTTTAGTAAGAATCGGTCAAGGAATCCAAAATACTTTACTGCTAAAGATTGTGACTTTTGCCCCTTGCCCTCTCTCCCACAAAGGGAGCTGATATCTTGGTGGAGGATGGGAAAGTAACTGAAAGAGCAGAATATAAGAATATTTGTCATTGATTATTATTTTTACTACCCCACTTCTAGGAGGAGAAAATTATATGTGGTTAGGAACACAAGGGAGCCAGTAATACAAGCTTGTTCATTAAAAATTGGAAATTTATTTGTGAAGTTCCACTAACATATTTCTTCTTATGGAATCATTGGCTAATCATGGTGCAGGCAGAACCATTTACACCTGGAGAGGCAGGCATTCAAAACTATACGTCATCTTCAAGGGTATCATGAGGGTTCAGCTGCCTAAAAGAAGTTCCTTAGGCATTCTGCTAGAGCACTTCCTTTAGTGATCTGAAATACCTAGTTTAGAAGAAATCTACTCATCAAATGTCTCCAAGAGAACCCCCTGCTTCACTCTTCAATCTGAGGTTCTGTTTTCCCCTGTTACAGAGGCTGGATAATGAATCCAATTCTTTAATATCCACATGTGTTTCAATTAGCAACCACCTAAACTGCGCTCTTCTAATTCTAAGTCAGGCTCCCCAACTTCATTGAAAGAGATTGAGAGCATGCAGACGACCAGGCCACTGAGTAACTGGATGTTCTGCCTTTTTTTTTTTTTTTCAGGTCTCTGTGTGACAAATCAAAGACTTTTGGAACTAGCCCAGGTAAACTTGAAAAAGGAATTATGGATAGTGATGAGGTAAGGAAGAGAATTAGCAACTGTTCATTTGTAATCTTTCCTTGGAGTTGCTTATTTTATAAGCCATGTCTTCTAAACTTTCTGTTGAAAGGCAGAAAAGATCGAGATTTATATAGAAAGCAAGGTTAATTGATCCAATTTTATGAGAGGGAAACAGAGACACAGAAAAAAGGAGAGACAGGGAATCAACAGGAACAAATCAGGGCACAAAACCCAGGGTCCAGAGGCCTAATCTTCGGGTGTGAGTTGAGTGTTCAACCCTGACTTTCTAGAACTCGTGGCCACCTCTTGCAGCAAGAGCTTGGTTGCTTCCCCAGGTTTATTAATTTAAGGGAATTTTCCAGGCCAGCTTTTATTTTGTCAGCCAGAGATACTGCAATGCAACATAACAAAACTAAAACATACTCCAATTTGGACACTCTTGTGGGTTTCTGCAAATGCTGGAGACAAATTTGGAACAGAGATATACTACGTCCGAAAAATTCAGGAGTAGAAACATTTTGCCCAGAAACCTTCCCCACTATAATTTATTAACAAACAAACAAACAAAACCTATAACAATCTTTACCTCTTTCCTCCAAATAAATTTTTTTTAGACTTCTATATGTATGATTCTATATATGTATTTTATATGTCATATCTGTGAGGCAGGTTTTTCACAATGTTTTAGGTTTGAGCAGAGGGACTTTAGTTTTCCAAAAGGTAATAAAAATTAAACCATCACATCTTTGGATTTGTCCCATGTTTCCTCTCCCCCTTCCCCCCACAAAGGAATGCAGGGGGTGACCCTGCTGGACTCGGGAGCATGGCCACGGCCTGCCCGCGTCCCACAGGCCTGCCCCTTCCCACGACTTCCCCCTCCTCCGCTTTCCTGCTTGCTTCATTCACCTGTTCAGGTGCATGTCCCTTTTCCTCTCTCCCCATCTTACCATATCACCTTGGTGGGGACGTGGCAATCTCTAGAAATGCTGATCCAAATACAGGATTATGTGCCCTTCCACTTTTTCTGATTTCTGATTTTTTCTAAGCCCGAAGGAGGTAGCTCAGTTTTTCCGCTTTGTGTTCTCATCCCTTTGACTTACTCAACCTTAGATAACCTAGGGCTGAGCTGGAGGCTGGGCAACAATGCTGGGGTCAGCAGGGGGAGGTGCAGGTGGCCCGCCACCTCTCCTGCCAGACGGGACACTCCATCTGTCAATCATCAGCACTACCACCAGCAGAAAAATGCAAAGTGGTAGAAAGGAGTGTTAGCAAAATTCAATTATTTTTTGTAACATTTTGGGTGGGAAGAATCATACCACAGAAATATTCAAAAATGCAAAAAAAAATTACAAAATGTTTCTCCTTTCCTCTGTGACCCTGCCTGCTCGCAGCTTGGTTGGCGGTTTTCCCCAGGGCTCCCTTCACTCTCAGTCCTTAAGTTATTGCCCTCTTTTATAACTAGCTTTTCTCCTTCAAGCTTGTCCTCCATGTTGAATTTCCCCTGATTTCACTCCTATGGAAATGAAAAGGCAGAAGAAGGAGGTGTGGCCCCTTCAAGCACGGTGTCGCTGGCTGAACTTGGATGCTGACCTTGCGCTTCCCCTCTAACAGCCCGGTGCAGGGTGCCAACCACCAGGCACAGTGTTCCCTTTACCTTGTGGAAAGTAGAGACCGCGTTTTAGAGGAAGCAATAGAAGGCTGTTCCGGACAGAGGCAGCTCGAAAACCACTAATTTTGATTGTTGTCCCTAGATTTTTGATGCAGTCGGGCATTCCAAATTTGTTCTCAAGAACCTTCAGCATTACACAGTCCCTCCACATCTGGTAGGTGGATAAAGCTTCCCCCGCAAGAGCCCTAAGGCTGGGTTGCAGCAGTGGGGCCGAGGCCCGCTGCACAGGGTCCCCAGTGGACTGCCACTTCGGTGACTGCTCCTGCTCCTAGGACCGCCCTCGGGCTCAGCCTCTGGCTCCATGTAGCTCTAGGACCCGGAGCCAGAGGCCAAGCTGGGAAAGGCGACAGTGAGCGAGGAGGCAGGAACTAGGAAAAGGTAGTCCCTATAGGTAAAACATTCCAAGTTGAGAAAACATATTAATAATCAGAAGGTATTTCCTTCCCTTCCTCTCCCTTCCTCTCTCTCCAAGCCTATTGCTTTCCTCCTGTTGACAGAAAAGTAAGTTTACTTCCCCTGCTCGCATCTCAAGTGACATGCTGTCTTTTGTGACTGCCTGTCCTTTTTAACCTTGTGCTTACTGTGCATGGTTAGTCGTGCCTGTGCGAAACACTGGTGGGTGGGAATGTTGGTGTCACCCCCACCCTTAAAACTCCCTGAGCAAGGAGATGTGGTCGCTGGCTGGCTACTTCCGCCCTCTGCCTCGGAGAGTTGTAGAGAAGTCCCGCAAAATTTTTATCATGGACACCATGCTGTTTGCCTCGCTGTGTTGAACAAATTCTCTTAAACTCTCTCAGGAGAATTAAGTTGTCTTTCTCCCTTTAATGTGAAAACCTTTCCATGTTATTTCCCTACCCCTTTAGTCTATTTGTGGGGAATGCTCTGAGGGAAGAAAGGACTTCCCTGATAAGCACAGGTCAAGCAGATTTGTCTAGTCCCTGTCCAGCCTCTGTCCCTACACCACAGAGGCAGTAGATTAGCCAACTGATTTGTTAACCTTCTCTTGATCTAATCCCTTTGTCTCTCTGGAAACCTTTCCCTCTGTCTTCTCAGAGCCAGTACTATGAGCCGCTGAAGCCCACCGTGCTGCAGAAATTCATGGCTCGAAACAAGAAAATCTTAAGCTTCATGCTCAAAGTCACAGAGTATGATCAGGATAAGACCTTACTGATAATGACCAACAATCCGCTTCCCTCCCCAATGGACCAGCAAGGAAAGGACAACGCACCAAAATACTTTCCCAAGGAGTTCCTGCTCAAGGTAATGGCACCTGGGGACATTTCCTGGCACCCTAAGTAAGGACCCTGAAGAATTAGGAGTTAGGTTGAAGAAGGAAGCTAATTTAACTTGGTATTCAGAAGCTAATCTCTTCCGTCTAATTCTTTGTCAGATGCTTCACCAAGCAGAACCTAGAGAGCCTAGGAAATACTCAGAAGAAGATTTAGACAAGCTTGGGTTATGAAACTTCACTGCACAGAGAAAATAACTTGAAATTGTTTTTCCCTGGTCAAAGACATTTAGTTTGTAATTAACAAAGGTTCAGCTACCCAGTGCCTTTCTAGTTGAGTATAAAGTAGTAAAGGATAAATTGAGAAATGAAGAATAAGGGACAGAAATGAATACCTCAATGGGAATTAAGTAAAGGGTTACACTTTATACCCATTGCTTTTGGGCATTAGGAGAAAGGAAGAAGAACAGAGCAGGGAATTTACTGTCACAGTATCTACACAGTTGGGACTCTGTTATATACTAATACAAATTGTATTCAATTTGATAACAATCATTGAATACACACTAATCTAAGAATTAAAATATAAAGATGATTACAAGACAGTTTTGATCTTGAAGGAAGTTAGAGTCTAACAGGAGAGACAGGTCAATAAATGAGATCTATAAAAGTGATTATACTATAGCAGGATATGTGAATTAGAAAAGAATATACAAGATCCAGAACTCATATACAATAAAGAACAGTATTCCTGTTAGGAGAAAGGGAGTAATCAGAGAGGCTTTACAGAAAAGATGACCCCTGACAAAAGAAAAGGAGAATATTCCAATCAGAATGAAGGGCAAAGACATGGAGACATGAGGAACTGAGATACATTTAGGGAGTTATAAGAAAGTAAGTGGCAGGAGACAAAAGGATATAACAAAATTTGCATTATTTTAGAAAGACCTTTTTTTGGAGGTTGGGAGAAAGACTCATTATTTGTAAAAGAGACAGAAATCAGAAAGATTAGTTATGATGTTACTGCAATCATCAAGGTAAGAGATGCTGAGAAATTGAACTCAATCAATAGTAGAGGAAGTAAAAAAAATCACTTTAAGAGATATTTAGGAATCAGGACCTAAAAAGATCTTGATAGCCCTTTCCAGGTAGCTCAGTTAGTTAGAGCATCATCCAGATACACCAAAGTTGTGGGTTTGATCCTGGGTCTGAGTAAATACGAGAATCGACCAATGGGAGACTTCTGGCTAAGATGGAGACGTAGGAAGATATGCTTTGCTTTCTCACACAACCAAAGAAGGACAACAACAAATTTAAAAGCAAAAAACAACCAGAACTGCTGGAAAATCAAACTGTATGGAAGTCCGACAACCAAGGAGTTAAAGAAGAAATATTTATCCAGACCGGTACGAGGGGTGGAGAGGCCACGTGGCAAGGTAGTAGACAGTGTGGGCAAGGTGGCGACTAGTGGACTGAGATATTCCACATTCACATGCGGGTAAGCCAGAAAGAACAGCTGGGGAGTGAGACAGACCCCACAATCCAGGGTTCCAGTGCATAAAAAGGAAGACTCAAAACCCCTGACTGTAAAAACCTGCAGGGGTTGCAGCAGTGGGAGAAACTCTCAGCCTCACAGGAGAGTTCACTTAAGAGACCCATGGGGTCTTTGAATGACCACAGACCCACCCACACAGGAATCAGCATCAGAAGGGCCCAATTTCTTGTGGGCAGCAGGGGAAGTGACTGCGAGTGGAGCAAGAGCTGAGCAAATGTCATTGTTCACTCTTGGATCCCTCCCCCACACGCAGCACCACAACGCAGTGAAGTGGGTGGCCCCGCCATGGTGAATACATAAGACTCTGGCCCTTACAATGTAAAAGGTGCACCAAGACAAAGAAATACAGCCCAAATGAAAGAACGTATCCAAACTCCAAAAATAGAACTAAGCCACGAGGAGATAGCCAATCTACCAGATGCACAGTTTGAAACACTGGTAATCAGGATGCTCACAGAAATGGAGGAGTACAGACTCAAAATAGAGGGAAAAGTGAAGGCTATTCAGAGTGAAATAAAGCAAAATATTCAGGGAACTAACAGTAAAGGAAAGGAAACTGGGACTCAAATCAATGATTTGGGGCAGAAGGAAGAGATAAACATTCAACCAGAACAGAATGGAGAAACAAGAATTCAAAAAAATGAGGAGAGGATTAGGAACCTCTGGGACAACATTAAATGGTCTAACATCTGAATCATAGGGGTGCCAGAAGGAGAAGAGGAAAAGTAAGAAATCGATAACTTACTTGAAAAAATAATGAAGGAAAACTTCCCCAATCTGGCAAAGGAAATAGACTTCTAGAAAGTTCAGGAAGCTCAGAGAGTCCCAAAGAAGTTGGACCCAAGGAAGCACACACCAAGGAACAACATCATTACATTACCCGAGATTAAAGGTTAAGGAGAGAGTCTTAAAAGCAGCAAGAGAAAAGGAGACAGTTACCTACAAAGGAGTTCCCATAAGACTGTCAGCTGATTTCTCAAAAGAAACCTTGCAGGCAAGAAAGGGCTGGAAAGAAGTATTCAAAGTCATGAAAGGCAAGGACCTACATCCAAGATTACTTTTAAAGCTATCATTTAGAATGGAAGAGCAGATAAAGTGCTTCCCAGATAAGGTCAAGTTCTAGAAGTTCATCATCACCAAACCCTTATTATATGAAATGTTAAAGGGACTCATCTAAGAGAAAGAAGGCGATCAAAACTATGAAAAGTAAAATGACAGCAAACTCACAACTATCAACAACTGAACCTAAAACAAAAACAAACAAAAACAAGCTAAGCAAACAACAAGAACAGGAACAGAATCACAGAAATGGAGATCACATGGAGGGTTATGAGAGGAAAAGAGGTCGGGGGGAGAATGGGAGAAAAAAGTACAGGGAATAAGAAGCATAACTGGTAGGTACAAAATAGACAGAGGGAAGTTAAGAATAACATAGGAAATGGAGAAGCCAAAGAACTTACATGTTTGACCCATGGACAGGATCTCAGGGGTGGGGATGCTGATGGAGGGGTGCAGGGTGGAGGGGGGAAAAGGGGAGAAAAAATGGGACAACTGTAATAGCATAATCAATAAAATACACTGGAAAAAAGAATCAACCAATGAATGCATAAAAAGGTAGAACAAGAAATGGATGCTCCTCTCCATCTCTTCAAAGGGCCAGTGGACAAGATCAATCAATCACTTAGGAAACTGACAAAGCTTTGGACAAGTCATCTGGCAAGGAAACAAATATACATTTGTCTGCTCAGAATGGCTTCCTCTTCCTTTCACTTCTGAGTCCCCAACTCCTTCTCTAAAAGGTTTTGTTGCATCATTTGGGGGAATTGGAACTTAGTTCAAGAATTTAGTACAGCCTTTACATCCCACGGTCTGTGGTTGATTACCTCACTTCCCTTCCCTCTGCTGCAGGAAAGGTATCAACAGCACAAACCAACTGGGAACTTCTGCCTACCTCCAATGCCTCAGAAAAAAAGGTTAACGCCTGAGCTGAAACCAATCTTCTCTGTGACACTGTGGAAGAACCCTACATCCAAGCAAGAACAATGGTTTAGGTGAAGTCCTGGCTTCTCTCGTTGTCATTTCCTTTCCTATCAGTTCCTTATTCATGTTACCATTTCCTTTAAATATGATTTAATACTTTTTGCTTGTAGGGTATAGGTACAAATGTATATTAATAAGACACAGAGACACAGCTTATTGCCCTGGCCAGTGTGGTTCAGTTAGTTGGAGCATCGTCCTGTAGACTGAAGGGTTATGGGTTCAGTTCCCTGTTAGGGCACATACCTGGGTTGTGGGTTCAGCCCTCAGTCTGGATGTGTTCTGGACACGTATAGGAGGCAACTGGTCAATGTTTCTCCCTTGCATCGATGTTTCCCTCTTTCCCCTCCCTCTCTCTTTGTCTCTCTCTAAAAAGTAATGGGAAATGTCCTTGGGTGAAGATAAAAAAATAAAATACAGCTTCCCTGTATAATCCTCAACATCATTTACACCCTAATGAGAGAGAATCAGTAATGCAAAGCTAAGGTTTTTCATTGAGAGGGATTTTCAAGAGTGAAGAGAAATATTCAAAGGTCTATGAGTTGAGGAAACAGAAAAAAATCCCCCCGCCCCCAGGGCATGATAAGTGCTGTAACATAGGAACAATATGCTATGAGATTTCATTAGGCACTAGTTCTAGGAGCAGCCAATACCTAGTTTGGAGAGGAGAGAGGAGACTCTGAACTTCCTTCTCAGGTTTACAAGGCTAGGTATTCCCACTCTGTACCAAGAAACACCTGCTAGCGTTGTCCTTTCTCCTCGCCTGGGATCTGAGAGTGTAGTGACTGGTTTATTAACCCCCAACTCTAGGATTTACTACGTGAGTTTTCTTTGTTAAGGTTTTCCACCAAGAATGATTTCAAAAGTGAAGGGAAATATTCAGCTTTCTGTACTTTGAGGAAACAGAAAACCATGTACCCTCAGCTCACCTTTGCTCAAGTCTGTAACAAAGATATGATAAAAGATGGTAAGTTCCTCTCTTTCAAAGCAGTGGATTACAAGACAGAGATGTGGGCAGGAGGGATGAGAGATAAGGGCAAATTGACATCTCTCTTGAAGGTTCTGGAAACTATTTTCCCTTGTAGCACAGAAGCTAAGAACTGATAGAGGCTCAAGTAGGGCTAGGCTTTGGATTCTGTTTAAATCCTAAATTTCAAGAAGCTGTAGCATAGTGCTTCCCAAACTGTATCACCTACCACTTCAAAGGTTTTGGTATATCATTGTGTTATTCACCCTATTATTTACTTACTGATTTTGTTCTTGTCCTAATTAATAGTATATCATTAACATGGGTTTGATATACTAATTACATGTTTTTTTCCGGCATACATTTAATCAAATTTATAATAATTAAAATTTAAAATATTTATTTATGACTCTCCTAAAATTACACAGTGGTATAAATATCACAGTCGAGGAAAACTCTTCTGGAGGGGCCAAAGGACAAACCTGTGAGTCTCAGAGGTGCACCAGTCTCTTTGGGAATGAGATAGGGACTGGGGTGGGAGAGGTTTGGGATAAGGTTGTATGGAATGGAAGAGGGTATAACAAAAATTCTCCTTACAAATTATCATTCATTTAAGAACATTTATGGGCACCTAGTAAGAGCTGAACACTTACCAAACACGTTCAATGTATGAGATGGCTGGGCCAGATCAGGAAGGGCCGGGGTTATATGAGTAAGGGCTTGGGTTTTCTCCACTAAGCAGCTGGGACCCATTGAAAAATTTCAGAGCATTCAGTAGACATTTGTGTAGTAGAGGTATAATTGATGGGTCCCCAGACTTCACCAGCTGTGATTTCAAGATACTATTGTTTTCTTCTACGGGGTTTTCCTCCTCAAGCAATTTCGGAATCTCCATGACGTACGTTTAGCTGCTCCACAAGGCCATCCCGGTGACTGATGAACGCCGTTGCCAGTCGCCCTCATCTGAATATTCACTTTCCAGTGGTGTGTGGTCATATTGTGCCATCCCTTTAATGGCTTCTCTGCTCCTCCTGTACCTGTTTGCCACTCCACCTCATGCCCACCTACTGTCTTTCTTAATTTCCTGTATTCAGCTAAAACCAAGCTGTGATATTTAACAATACTTCACAGATGTGGAGAGAAGTTAAAGAACAGCAGGGAATGATTTATCTTGCTTTAAAAAAAGCTACTCATGGGCTCAGCCTCAAACCTGCCTCGGTTCCTTCATAGTCCCCAGCACATTAATCATTCTTGGGAAACTCCTGGTTTATCTATGCTCTTTCTGCGTAGGCTCCGAATAACCTTGGCCCAAGGAAGGGGAAGAGGGTCACTCCTTCCCCAAAACCTGTTTATATTTCAGCCCAAGAATAAACAAGTAGGAACATCTACAAATGATCCCTGACTTAATGATTGTTTGGCTTTACAATGGTGCAAAAGCAACATGCATTTAATCAAAACTGGTGAGGCTAAGCTACGATGTTCACTAGGCTGCATTTTCAACTTAGGTGTTTCCAGTTTACAATGGGTTTATTGGGGTATAACCCCCTGTAAGTTACGAACTACTTGTATTTCCTTCAGGGGAAACTCTGGAAAGTGAGGTTTGAGCTTTATAGGCCAGAAAAAGCAAGCGTAATAGCTGAAAGTACATTTAGTAAAGTCAGAGTTAAATCTTAAGTGATATCACATGTTGGATAGCAACAGTTCAGTTTCAATTAGATTGTCTAGAATCTAATCTAGATTAGATATTCTCTAATATTTCAAGGGCATGATTCTATTAAGGATACACCCAATTCATATTTCTAACCAGTACACTTAATAGTCTGCAGCATTTCATTACAATTACAGAGACTTTACAGTTTCCCTAAAAAATGGGGGTGGGGAGGGTGGGAGGAGGATACTGATTTATGTATCTAAAGGGCCTACTATGATGCTTCTCCTAAACAATCTACTGTGAAGTTGAAACAATGTCTCCAGTTCAAGCAAAAGCTCCATTGCTGGCAACCACCTCCTTCCACCACTAATGTTCCAGATTTATCAGGCACCCAAATAAAGAAAAATTACATAGAATAATCGTTTGGACAGGGCCCAGGAAGATGATAGGACATGAATAAAGGTGTTATCAGTAGGAATAAGGAAACGACTTCAAGGGACATTTACGAGGCCTACTGCAGCAAGAGTGGGGAGGGATGCTTCCAAGAACAGAGAGAGGAAAGAGAATCTGACCAAGTGATGACACTAGAGCCAAATGCAGAAGTTTCTTAGTGACATTCTCAGGCAGGAGAGACTGAAAACCAACACACACTTTAGGAAAGGCTAAGAGGGATAAGACTGTACAAGTGAATGAATGCACCTTAACCTAGAGTTACATGAATGTCAATTATGATTGTGGATGGAATTATTTGAAAGGGGTCGGATTAAACAGGGAAGACTAAACTGACAGTGTTTTAAACTGGGTTTTGAAGAAGGTAAGGAGTCCAGAATTACTATAAAGAACGTCGGGAATGGTAGTCCGAGGTCCAAAACTTCCCCCTGCTAAGAGTAAAGACAGCTTTTTCTCATCCCTCCAAGTGGGTCAATTTCATGCCTCACATTAAATGTCCTTCTAGCCCCTCTGGAAATCCACATTCACCGAAGTGCCCTGTGTTTTGTTGCAGTCTCCAAGAAGTCAGAAAGAGACATGCCAACTTTGAATTGGGAACCATTAACCCTTTCATCGCTTCTGGAAAAGAAGCCCACCAGAACCGCGCCTGGGGAGAGAGCCTTCCGCTATGGAAGGGCCCAACAATGGTTTATAAAAGATACCACTGTCATTAAGTAAAAACAAACACTTGAGGCTTCTTGCCTCGGTCTCCAGAGACTGAGAGGCCCGCATCAGTCGCCTTCCAGGGCGTGTCAGCCAATAAAATTGCATTCCGCCCACTCCGGGCTCGGGCTGCCCGGCCGCTGGCACGGCGGGAAGGGGAAGCCTCGGGTACGACCAGTAGCGCGCCAGGAGCCACAAAGTGGGCCCCAGGACCCAGCGCCTTGCCCCGCCTCCGCCGGCTTGGGGTAGACGAGAGGGCGTGGCCGCATCCCCAGGGGACAGGAGCCGCCGCGACAGGCGGGGAGGGCGGGCCTTCTCCCCGAGTGACGCGAGGGCGGCCCAACCCGCGCCAGAGCACGGGGCCGGCCTTCCTGCAGCCTCTTCCGCTCGCCGGCTGAAGTGCCTGGGAAGGTTGCGGTGGGTCTGGGCGCTGGGAAGTGGTCCAAGATGATTAAAAAATTCGACAAGAAGGACGAGGAGTCTGGTACGCGCTGGGCTTCTGACGCCCACCCTCCGCCGCAGGGGGGGATCCCTTCATCCGCCCGCTGCCGCCTGCTCTCGGGGATGCGGACCGGGGGGCGTGGGTGCCGGTGTGCCAGGGGGCCGGTTCCAGCCGGGGGCCTGCCCCTAGCCCCTCCCCCGGCGCCGGAGCCTCCCCCTGTCTCGCGCCCCCCCCCATCAGCTTGCTTGGCAGCCCCGCCCCCTCCCTCTCCCCTTCCCCCTTCTCCTTAGCCTCCCCCTTCTCTGGGCGCTGCTCTTCCAAGCCGTCTCTTCCCCGCTCGCCCCGGGTGGGCTGCTCGCTTTGGCGGCGGGCGCAGGGCAGGTGGCGGAGGGGATGGGTGTGCCCGTGTAAGAGGAGAGGGTTGCTGGTAGGGTGGGGCCCAGGGTGGGTCTCAAGTCCACGGGACAGCCTTGTATGTGTGTATGAACTTTGAGGTGCTTTGTACCTTACAGTCTTCCTGGGGACCTTTACACTGTTTCCTTCCCATAGGGCAAAACTGTCTCATGGTACATAGGTCATTTAATGTATCCCAAAGTGCGTTGCGTCTTGATACTTTGGTCCGGAGCAAATGGGGAAGATAACCAAGCCACCTTGCAAACAAGCAAAACAAAACTCACAGTTTGATAGCTGCTCTCATAAAGAAGGTTGGGTTAGTAAAAGCTACATGGTCCCTTCTGTCTTTAAGTGTATAATATTATCTGCTAATCTCTTTTCAGCTTCCCAGTAAATGTTAAAAACACATAAAATCATGCTCGCCTTTAGGGAACTCCAAAGGGTCCTACCACGATCTTACTAATCTTGGTTGTGTGGACATGACAAATCTTTGTACCATTCATGTAAAAATTGACAGGAGAAAGAAGACAACCATTCAGGCAAGGTTCCCGCAAGAAAGTACAAGATCTTACAGGAATGCAATGACAGAAATAGTTTCAGAAGCAAAATCATTCTATTTAGTTTATAGGCATATTAGTAATGATTATCACTGTGATATCCAAGTGGCCACTTCACTTCGGTGAGATATCCCACGCATTCCTTATCCTTTCGTACAAAATAAGTTTGTGTAGGATAGCTATTAAAGATATGTTTTGTTTTATACTGTAGGTAGTGGCTCCAATCCTTTTCGGCATCTGGAGAAGAGTGCTGTCTTACAGGAGGTATGGCTTAGAAGTCTATTGTGTTTCTTCTTTTCCATTCCATTTTAGAATGGTGGGCAGAGAGCCCCTGGAATGTTGAGATCCAAAATAAGAATTAAGGAAGATCTATAACTGAGTTCAGAGAATATAGGTTTGAGGGAAAAGGGTGCGGGCTTGCTTGTTGAAGGAGAGAGAACTGCAAAAACACGCAGACTGGGCCACATGTTGAGAACTTTAAATAAAATGCCGGAAGAGGTGTATAGTGAAAGGTTGTTGAAGGAAGTTACAGATATTAAACTCATTGTATTCAAGTAATGTAGATAAATATTGTGGTTCTTACTTAACAGATAGAGCCCACAAAGTTGAAGTGAAGCAGTAGACTTAAGGGAAGGAGAGGGTATAGAATGGGAAATCAAGGCCACGTCTAGTGATTTATCTTACACCATAATAAATTGAAAACTATGGGTACCTAACATTATTGGATATTGTAATTAAAACTCAGAATAGTCTTTATTATAGTTGATTTTCTGTAGTCTGAGATAGAAAAAGTAGGGAATATACTATGTATAACAGTGTTTTTTGTTTCCAGGCTCGTCTGTTCAATGAAACGCCTATCAATCCAAGAAGATGTTTGCATATTCTTACAAAGATTCTTTACTTACTGAACCAGGTAGATTATTTTGATTTTCTTCAGATATGTGTCCTGGAATAGAAATACATAAGATGTAGTAAAGTACTTTCTGGAAAATATAATCATATCTTTAAAACTCACTTTTTAAAAAACATCTACAGTGTTTGCTTAACATAATATATGTAATATAAGCAAATATTTATTCAGCAAATAAATTCAGCAAATATTCAGCAAATATTTATTACACACCTTCTGTATCCATAATATTATGTTTGCTTAACATAATATGTAAAACTTCTTGAGGACGAGGACTGTGACATATATTGTATTTTGCCATGTATAATGTGCACCCATGTTTTTGGCCCAAACTTTCAGGAAAAAATCTTTCATTTTAACTTTTTAGTTCAATTATTTATTTACTTATTTATATTTAGATACTTGTTTTTTGTATTATAAAGGAATTTTAGCATTTATTTTTGAACATATCATGGTACAACAAATTTTATGTAACAAATAATTACAAAACACAAGAGCAGATACAAGGTACAAGAAATTTTAAAAAGAATTAAACACATTTGAATAGATACAGAATTAGCACTACCCATGTATAACATGCATCCTTATTTTTTCCTCAAAAATTTGGGCAAAATGCACATTGTATATGGCAAACTATGGTACTTCTTTTTATTCATGAGGTACTAAAGCAGCTAAGTACCCAGTAGATTCTCAACATTGATTTGAGTCTAACAAGTATTAGTTAATGTTAAAACATGTTGTTTAGAATTGTTCAGAGGTCTTTATGTTTCTCCAAAAATACAGTACAAAGCTTTAGACATATTCTAGATAAATATTTTACCCTTTTGGGAGTATGGGTGTATATAGTGATATTTTAAGTCTTTGCTTTTAATATTCAGATTTTATATTTATTATCCTTACTCTGCCTTACAACAATATGATTCTGGGCTTAACCATTTAGTGCCTTAATGTCTTTTTCTATAAATGAGAATTGTGGTCATCATATTTGTTTTATAAAGTTGATAGTAAATGTAAAGCATTGAGAATAGTCCTGGCTACATAGTGAACATTCAGGAATAGTTTTCATTCAGTCATTCAGCAAATATTTATTACACACCTTCTGTATCCTATGCACTATTTTAGACACTGGGAATATAACAGACAAAAACCAACAAAAATATTTGCTCTAAATGAAATAGGTTCTATTTTGCAGTTATGATTATTTTTATTTTTATTTTTTTCTTGTGGTTGACTTAAGATCTCATGAAATGTCTAGGGCCTTAGAAAATGTGATTTTGTTTCTTAGACTCATACTCCCCCCGCCCCACCCCCGCCCCGCCCCTCAGATGGTTTGCATATGGTGCTGAGAAGACTATGATTTCCAATTTGAATTCCATGAGAATATTTTATCTTTACTATGTTTCATGACTGAAGACCTCATCCAGAGACATAATAAAATTTTGTAATTTGCAAATGGAGATTGAGCAACAAGTACATACTTTTAAATAAAGTTCACAAAGTCATATCCCTCTGTGGTAGCATATTGGAAACATTTAAGGCACATGTCCAACTTAGCTAAATCCTTTACATAAGCAGAGTTTTGAGTGGTTGGTGTTGGTTCAGAGAAGTGAATACTTTTGTATTGGCTAGTAGCTCTTTGATATGGGCAACTCATATTGAAATGTTTAATTATCTTGATAAGGAAATTACCAAGCACAGTCTGATACATAAACAGGTTTGGGAACCTTAGTTTTTTCTTTTGCCTAATCCTGGGAGAGGAAAAATGCTTTTAAATATCTACCAGAGTTGTTCTCTGAGTTTTAAGTCAAGTAAGGACTAAAGTTTTACCAATATGAGTGAAAAGTACATGGATTTCAAGGTATTCAGGAAACAGTTAAGAAAGAAGGAGTGAGATCTCTTGCTGGTGAGCAAGCTGGATATTCTGATTGAAGCAATTGTAAACTATTATACTTTGTCTTTCATCCTAAACTTTCAAAGTTTTGCCATCAAAATTGGCTTATTGTTAGACCCATGACAGATAGAGTGAAGACTAGGTATATTCTATGTAAAATCTGGAGTTCTGAAAGTGATTGAGCCTAACAGATTTTATAGGATTGAATGGGGAAATTGAATAATGAAATGGTAATGTTTCAGGTGGCTTGGGATCTGCATTATTTTGACTACAGGTGAAATAGGTTACTTAACATATTGTTATGCAAAAAAATGTGTTTCCCAGATCAGCAGCATTCTCATTACTGGGAGCTACTCAGAGCCATTGAATGAGAACCTGCATTTTGGCAAGATCCTCAGCTGATTTATTGAGCACATTAAAGTTCTGATCCAAAGCATGTTTTTAGGGTCTTGAGCCAGTATTCTGAGATCTATTAGCAGCCCCTCCCGCCTTTTATATAAATAATCTGGTCTCTTCCCTTTTTAGTGAGTCTCTTTTAAGTTATGTTTTCTGGATTTCTAATAGTTCTTTACAGTTTCATATTTATGATGTTCCTGTAAGGTATGATTTGTGCTTGTAGGCAGTATAACAATAACATTGCAATCTGGTTAGAAATTCAACTTGCTATTATGTTCTACCTCCTTGTAAATCACAGTTCTTCAGGAAAATTAAGATAGTTTCTGTGATAAAGTTAGAGACCACTATTCTAGAACTCTCATAGCAGATGTGTGATACTGAATTATTTTTAAATAAGGAGCAGGTAAAATGGCAGTGCCAGAAAAA